CTTGAAGTAGAGGCAGGTGGATCTCTGAGTTCAACGCCATCCTGGTCTGCATAGCAAGTTCCAGATCAGCTGGGGTTATAGGGAGATACTTTCTTTAAAAAAAAAAAAAAAAAGGGCTGGGGCATAGTGGTGCATGCCTTTAATCCCAGCACTTGGGAGGCAGAGGCAGGTGGATCTCTGAGTTCAAGGCCAGCCTGGTCTACATAGTGAGTTCCAGGACAGCTGGGGCTACAGGGAGACCCTGTCTCAAAAAGACCAAATAAAAAAATTCACGCTAGCCAGCAAGATGGTTCAGTGAGTAAAAATACTTGCCCCAGAAGCCTGACAGCCTGAGCTTAATCCCTGGAGGCCACAAAAAGCAGTAGAGAACTGATTCCACAAAGTTGCCCTATCATGTGTACGCCACACATAACATACACGTACATCACACATACTCAATAACAGTAATTAAAAATAAATTTTAAAATAAATAAGCACTTAAATCAACCTATAATCAAAACATCACTTGGCAACATCAGATATAACAATTACATAGCTCTAGCTGAGAGTGGTGGCAACATCTTTAATCCCAGGTCAGGAGGCAAAGGCAAGTGGATCTCTGTGAGTACCAAGCCAACCAGAGCTACATACTGAGATCCTGCCTCAAAAAAATAAAAAAATAAAAAAGGGAGGCATATTTTCAATTGATCTAAAAACAAATTATTTCAGGGGCTGGAGAGATGGCTCAGCAGTTAAGAGCACTGGCTACTCTTGCAGAGGACCCAGGTTTGATTCCCAGCACCCACATGGCTAACAACTGTCTGTAACTCCAGTTCCAGGGACTCTGAGGCCCTCTTCTGACATCGGAGGGCATTGTACACATGGGTGCACCTACCTACATGCAGGCATTCCACTCATACACATAAAATAAAAACAATAAAGTTGGAGAGATGGCTCAGCAGTTAAGAGCACGGGCTGTTCTTACAGAAGATTCAGGTTTGATTCCCAGCACCCACATGGTGGCTAACAACCATTAACTGCAGTTCCAGAGAAATCCAATGTCTTCTTCTGATCTCTGCAGGCATTGAATGACAGAATGACACAAGTGGACTTTCGCACATGCAGGCAATACACTCATGCGTAAAATATAATGTAAATTTACTTAATATATTTAACATAATTAATATGGAAGATAAAAATTATCTTATTACCCAACCATCTAATATCCTTTATTTCTCCTAATTTGCCTGAGAAAGTGATTTATAAAGCTCAAGGCTGTAATTATTCATGAGAACAGAAGGCCTCTGATTCAATTCAATAAAACACACTCTGTAGACCAGGCTGTCCACAAACTCAGAGATCCACCTGCCTCTGTCCCGAGTGCTGGGATTAAAGGTGTGTGCCACCACTTCTAAGTGTGAGTCCACACATCTAAGCAGGTAATCCACAGAAAACACAACTCATTACTACAGAACAAGTTATCTAAATTTATCCGAGTTAGAAATTTGTCTTTTTATCACATTTTTTAAACGTCTAGTTCCAAATGACAGGAAATTTCTTAATACTCACGAAGAAGAAATAACATTTTACCATTCCAATTATCACCCTACTGTCTAAGATGGCTGTCTTTCTTGCTAACAAACATCATTTGCTTCAAATGGCATAAGAACCTACTCTTTATCTGTTTCTTTATTAAGAAGCCTTGTTAGTCCTTCCTAAGTGACTGTAATTAGACTGCAATGGGGGAGGAGGGTGACTATGGAGTTATATTTTTAACTGGCAGCATCTGGAAAAACAATTTCAGCAAGGATCCTCACAATAATAGGAGGCTGAGACAGGAGAACTGTCATGGTGTGAGGCCAATGTGATCTACATAATAAGTTCCAAGATTTCACTGCTATATGTAGCTGAGTCTATAGGACAAATGTAGTCCCACATCTATAACCTATCTCTCTTCTTCAAGTCTGATCAACATTAGCAGTGCCCAGTTAGCACCAGAAGAGCAAACAAGACAGTGAAGAGCAGGTATGTATGTATGTATACCACATGCATGTACCAGGTGTGTACAGGTGCCCAAGGAGACCAGAAGAAGTTGCCAGATCCCTGGGAACTGGAGTTATGGGTGGGTGCATGTGGAGGCCAGAAGTCAACACTGGATGTCCTCCTTAATCACTTTCCACCTTATCTTTTTTAAAAAATATTTTTTATAGGCCAAAAGTGGTGAAACAGGCCTTTAATCCCAGCACTTGGGAGGCAGAGGCAGGTGGGTCTCTGTGAGTTCAAGGCCAGGGTGGTCTACATAGTTGAGTTCCAGGTCAGCTGGGGCTACAGGGAGATCCTGTCTCAAAAACATCAAATATATATGCATATATTGTTTTTTATTTTATGTGTATGAATATATTGCCTGCATGTACATAAGTGCACCCATGTCCTGCAATGCCCTCAGAGAACAGAAGAAGGCATTGGATCCCCTGGAATGGAGTTACAGATGGTTATTAGCCACCATCTAGGTGCTGGGAACTGAACCTGGGTCCTCTGTAAAAGTAGTCAGTACTCTTAACCACTGAACCATCACTCCAGTCCCTCTAATCTTTTGAGACACAGTCTCCCACTGAATCACTAGACTGGCTGGCTACTGAGCTCAGGGATCTGCCTACCTCTACTCTGTAATATAGAGTTACAGATGCATGTGATCATGCCCAGATTTTTTATGTAGTTCTAGGGATTCAAATTCAGGTCCTCAAGCCTAATTGGCAGGCACTTTACCAACTAAGCCACCTCCCTAGCCCATAAAAGTAGCTTTTGAGTCACAGGTGTGATACAGAAAGAATCTCTCTAAAAACAGACCATGCGGAAGCAAAGTTTTGCGTTCAAACATCCTGTAATGTACGTTATATTAACAAACTGTCATGCATTGTTTGAACTCACTTAAAAGCTGATTCTGGAAACAGGGTTGCCCTCTCCATTTTAGACCCAAGAATGTACCAGGTTTGGTGCCACACACCTTAATCCCCCCCAGCAGCGGGGAGGCAGAGGCAGGGGGATCTCTATGAAATCGAGGCCACCCTTGTCTACATAGTAAGTTCCAGGCCAGTTGGAGCTACAGAAAGACCCTATCTTAAAAGACCAAACCAAAACTAAAACAAAAATAAACAATCCAAGTGTCCTCCAAAGTCCCTTGTCTGGAGATGGACCAGACCCCTAACTCTGTGGCAGGGAAGAGAGAACAACAAAACAGCCCAAGAGTATTAACACTGTGTCCTGTTAACAGCTAGAAGGTAAAGCATTTCCAACAAAGGGTACAATTATTCCATGATATAAAAGTCCCTGCAGTGGAAAAGAGAGGCCACAAGTTCAGCCATGGGAAGCAAATCCATGCAGAGAAAGCTCACTCAGAAACTACAGCTGGCTGCCTTAAAGGGCCTTCCCAGTCCATTTCTTCTGGATGTTTGTAAGCCCCCAAACTAATGATATCACTTTTCTGTTGTTATTTGGTCTTTTACTTGGAAGCCTCATCCCAGGAGACACTCTGTATCCAGAACTCCAGATGACTGCCTCAATGAGGTTTCACTAGTTGATTTCTATTTGATATCTTACTATCTTTTTTTTTTTTTTGTCTTTTTGAGACAGGGTCTCCCTGTAGCCCCAGCTGGCCCGGAACTCACTATGTAGACCAGGCTGGCCTCCAACTCAGAGATCTGTCTGCTGCTGCCTCCCAAGTGCTGATCCCTTGGCAAAGACAGTCAAGAAGACAGGCAAGACATGAAACAGACGTGGCAATGTCATAATAACTCCCTGGTCTACTTTACTGCCAAAGCACAGGAATTTCCCTGACTACACAATGCATAAGGACATCGAACAAGAGAATAGAATGAATGCTATCCCTTCAAATCCTAAGAGCCATATATGCAACTAGATTTAAGACAGAGCATTAATCTAGGTATGCTGGCAGTCCTGCAATTCCTGCACTAGGAAGGCAGAGGTTAGAGGATAAATTTGAGGAAAATCTAGGCTACCTAGTAAGTTCCAAGCCAGCCTGCACTATGCAGTGAGACATTATCTCAAAAGAACAAAAAAGAGGAAGAAGAGAAGAGAATGCTAAATTTTTATGAGTAATGTCTAAACTGAACTAGTTTAAACTCATTCATTCCTTCAGCAAATACTCCAGTGCCTGCCTTGTGCCAAGTTACAACACAGAGTAAGACAAATGCCCTGCCCTTTAGCCAGAGACAGAAAAACAGACAAATATGCACAGTAGTGGAGATAATGCCTAGGTCAGGGCCTTCCTGTAGAGAGAGAGAGCAATAAAGAAAGCAGTAGTATAAGTGAAGCGAAGGCCACACTGAGAAGGGAATCATTAACCTTCATTCTGAATGAAAGTAGAACCCACTGGAGAATTTTTTAATGTATAAAAGGATCTGAGATTTGTTTTGTTTTTTTTTTTGGCAAAGCAAGGGATCAAACCCAGGGCCTTACTCATGCTACGGAAGTGCAGATCTGAGTTACTCTTAAAGATTCCTCTATTCCCTTCATGGAGAATGGATGCAAGTAGGTAAGGGAGATCAGTTAAGGGAACATTGCAAAAGTCTAGGCCACAACTAACTTTAGTTTGAACTAGTTTGGCAAAGGTTAGGATGATTGATAATGAGTTAGATAGGCCAGATTCATTTGAAACAAAGAAAACAGATCCTTTTTCTTACTGACTTTGAACACAAGGATATCTTAATTTAATTAAAAAACAAGACCATTAAAATTGAAACTATTTATTGTCACTACATTATTTGGATAAAAGGTTAATAAAGTGTTGCTAAAGCTACTGGTAACAAGCACATTTTGTTAAACAGTAAAACAAAGTTCAGCCAACAAATCTGAATGTGAAAAATTATGACCTCAAGAACTAAGTTTTGTGTAACTTTAAAGAATACTCTCCAAAGAACAGCTAAAGGGCAAACTTTGTTTGGTTTTGAGGCAGGGTTCCACTGTGTTGGTCAGATTGGTTTAGAATTTGCTATATAGCCCACCTTGACAGAGAACTTGCTGGCACCAATGCGCCTGCCTCAACCTTCAGAGTCCTGAAATTATAGACATGAGTCACCACACAAGTTCAAGAGATTCCAATGAACATCCAAGAACAGAAGACAATAAAATGTGTGAATTTGGGATTGGAGAGATGGCTGAGTGGTTAAGAGAGCTTGCTGTTCTTAAAGAGGGGTTCCCTGCTCACAACCTAACTCCAGCTCCACGGAATCCAACACCCTCTTCTCTGCCCTCCCCCCAATAAAAATAAAAATAAATGTGTTAACTTTTTTCCTCAGGAGTGTATCGCAGTGACCTGTAGGGCCTACCCAAAAAAAAAGATGGGATTTACAATTTTACAATAAAGTGCTTCAAATCAGCAATGGCAAGGCAATTTAACTTAAAAATCAATTCAGTTCTCTTTAGCCCACTTCTTTATATAAGTCCCCATGACTGAGTCATGTAATGTGCAGTGAAGTCAAGAAATCCCTGTTGCACTGTCCTCATGTCAGTAGGCAGAAGCGTTTCTTTTTTATTTTACCCGCAAAAAAAGTAAAACCTAAGACTCTTGGGGAGTCGTGGGCATGTGCATCTTTTGAAGTATAGTGTTTCTGCTTTGGTTTATAACTACCAAATAACTATGAAATGGTTAAAAAGGGATGAAAATCAAGACATTCATTGCTTCAACTAAGGGTCCCTCCGTAGTTAAGTATCATTCACTGAGTAGTCGTAAATAAATTTTCGTGGAAATATCACTACTCGGGAAGATGGTCCAATGCAAAGCACAAGTATGGCTAAACACGCTGTCTTTAAACTCCTTGTCTTTTTTTTTTCTTCACGGTACTGGAGAGTGAACCTAGCTCTTCATGCACGCTGGGCAAGTACTCCACCGCAGAGATACATTGGCAACCCAACGCTGTCTTAAAGTCAAAACACAGTAGCAGCGAAGACAACAAGCGGGAAAGAAAAGAAAATCCAGAAACCTGACCTTGCCCACAGTCGACTTAGTTGTGCACCCCTCCTCCCCCTAGTGACCCCGGGAGCCGGTTCCCGCAGTCCCAATTGATCAGTCTGCCTGTTCCAACAATCTGCCTGGCAGTGCGTGACAAGGGACTGTCCACCGGAGACCAGAGGATCCGACAGGAGGGGCCAGAAAACTGTGAGGCCCAGGAGTAAGAAGGCGAGGACGTTGGGAGCAATGGGGTCGGGCGTGAGGTGCTGAAGGAGACAAGGCCTGCTAGGAGCACTGAGCTACAGGAAAGGGAGGCCTGGGGAAGCCAAGCGAGAGGAGGAGGGCCGCCGGCGGGCAGCGCGGAGGGAAGGGCGAGGAGCTGCGGGGCCCGGAGCGCAAGGAGAGGGAACCGGGCTACGGACGCCCGGCAGGGCCCGGAAAGAGAGGCTGAGGCCGGAGCCGCGGGCCCGGGCGCGCGGACTCACGTTCTCCCACCAGCAGGATCCGCACGTCTTTCTTCATGTCGGAGGCTCGCAGGGGCCGAGCTCGGCCCGCACGCATGGAGCGCACGCCTCACGCCAGAGCGCCCACCCCACGGTGCCCCTTCCCCGCGCTGCCGGTGCCACCTGCCAGCTTCTCGAGCCGCTCCGCCCGAGCCTCAGCAGCCCGGACCGGCCGCGCCACCGCCTCGGCTGCCGCCGCGCTCTGAAGCCGGGACAGCGCCAGCTCCGCCTCCTCTGGCTCCGCGAACGCGGGCGGCGGCCGCCCTAGTTGTGGGGATGACGGTGTGCAACGAGGGACATTCGCTTTCGTAACGCGAATGCTCTCGCCACTTGAACAGCGCCCCTGCCGTCTGACTGGCGGTGGCACAGGACCCGGGAGCTTTGCCTACTCCTCTAGACACAGCTGCCAGTAAACTCTCCCAGCCAGGATTTCAAGGGGCAGATTCCTTAGTTCAGTTGCCTTTGTTTTACAGAAATAGGAACAGAAAATCCTTGTTCAAGGTCACAGAGCAGGTGCTGGCCATGACTCAGAGCAGGGATCTTCTGATTAAACTATAAACTCCAGGAGGACAAGTGACCTGCCTGGTTTTCAGAGTGTCTGTGCTTGTTGGACTTACCTGTGAGAAATGCCACAGTAGCTGGCTCACAAGATGTGACCCTCTACATGCCCCAGAACCCATTACCTAGCTGGGTTTGTGGGTTTGTTTTTGTTTTTTTCAAATTTATTATTACGTATGTGTATATGATGTGTGCCTGTACAATGTGTGCATGTGAGTGCATGCCACAGTGCACATGTGCAGGTCAGAGCCAACCCTTAAAAGTTGGTTCTCTTGGGAGTCAGAGGCAGGCAGATCTCTGTGAGTTCAAGGCCAGCCTGGTCTACATAGTGAGTTCCAGGACAGCTGGGACTACAGGGAGACCCTGTCTCAAAAAGACAAAAAAAAAAACAAAAAACAAAAAAAAAACCAAAAACTTGGTTCTCTAGGGCTGGAGAGATGGTTCAACAGTTAAGAACACTGAATGTTCTTGCAGAAGACCTAGGTTTGAATCCCAGCACCGGCATGGCAGCTAACAACTGTCCGTAATTCCAGTTCCAGGGGATTCAACGCCCTCTTCTGACCTCCGTGGGCACTGCATGACATGGGTGTATTTGCACACATTGCAGGCAATACACACATATACATAAAATAAAAATAATAAATAAAATATTTTTAAAAATAGTTGGAGTCAGATGTGGTTTTGCACACCTTTAGTCCCAGCACTTGGGAGGCAGAGGCAGGCCGATCTCTGTGAGTTCAAGGCCAGCCTGGCCTACATAGTGAGTTCCAGGCCAGCTGGGGCTACAGGGAGACCCTGCCTCAAAATGACCAAAAAAAAAAGTTGGTTCTCTACTTCCATCATTTCAGGGATCAAACGCAGCTCCTCGTGTTTGAACAGCAAGTGTTTTTACCTGCTGAGCCACTCTCCCAATTAATTAATTGATTATTTTTAAATAGGGCATGATGGTTCATGCCTGTAATCCCAGTATGTGGTAGGCCAAAGCAGGAGAATTGCCATGAGTTTGAAGCCAGCTTGGGTTACAGAGTGAAACCCTGTTGAAAAAATATTAAAACCCACAAGGCATGGTGGTGCACACCTGAAAATCCAGCACTTAGTAGAGGAGGCAGAACAGTTAGGAGTTCAAAGCCATCCTTAGCCACACAGAGAAATTTGATGCCAGCCTGGCTACAAAAGACTTTGTCTCAATATAAAACACACACATATGTATAAAACAAAAATGTTACACATGTGAAACTTTAAAGGGATGCAAATATGTATACGCTCAATCTCAATTTTTTCTAGAAGTGATGTAATCTGTTATCAATTCAGAGCTGCTGAGCAATTTCCTGGGTTTCAATTCAGATTCTAATAGCTATGTGATCCTGAACAAGTTGTTTTATTTCTCTGAGCCCATTCCTTCTTCTGTGGTATGACAATGACAGTGACACCTACCTCTTAGGTGGCTGTGAGGAATAAGATCTAGCATGCTAAGCATTTGTGACAGGGCCAGGATGTGCTCTACAGAGCTCAGGCATCATCAGAATCATAAAAGTTTACTGATGGGGCTGGAGGGATTGCTCAGTGGTTAAGAGTACTTGCTGCTCTTGCAGAGATCCATACTTCAATTCTCAGTATCCACATGGCAACTAACAACAGTAACTTCAGTTCTAGGGGATCCAATGCCCACTTCTGGTCTCTTTGGGCACTGTACACACATGGTACACTCACATGCCAGCAAAATGCTCATACACAAAAAATACAGATAAATAAAATTAACTTCTAAAAAAAAAAAAAAACCACTCAGGCCAGGTGTGGTGGTGAACCCCTTTAATCTCAGCACTCGGGAAGCAGAGGCAATCTCAGTGAGTTCGAGGTCTACAGCCTGGTCTACAGATTGAGTTCCAGGCTAGCTGAAGCTACAGGGAGACTCTGTCTCAAAAAGACCAAAAAAATAAACAAAAAAAAATCACTCAGAAGTCCAGGCATAGTGGACCTTTAATCCCAGCACTCAGGAGGCAGAGGCAAGGGGAATCTCTGATTTCCAGGCCAGCTAGGGCTATAGGGAGACTCTGTCTCAAAAAAAAAAAAAGAAAAAAAGAGCCAGGCATGGTGGCACACGCCTTTAATCCTAGCACTCAGGACGCAGAGGCAGGGGGATCTCTGTGAGTTCAAGGCCAGCCTGGTCTACATAGTGAGTTCCAGGACAGCTGGGGCTTCAGAGAGACCCCTGACTCAAAAAAACAAAAACAAAAACAAAAAAACAAAAAAAAAGCAGAGAAGCAACTGGTATCACTATAGATTAAAAAATATATGTAAGATATATGTAAGATAAACCAACTAAAAACAGTTGGGTTTGTCTGCTTTATATGTGAATAATGTAAAGGTTTTCTTTATTTAGCTAGTATGTGTGTCTGTGTACACGTTTATGTTCACATACATGTACTCATTGGTATGGAAGCCAGAAGTCAAGGTCAAGTGTCTTCCTCTATCACACCCTACCTTATTTTTTGAAACAGAGTCTCTCACTGAACCTAGAACTCACCAATTTAGCTAGGCCTCCTGTACCTGTCCTCCTACTCCCAGCATTGGAGTTACAGATGGGTGACACAGCACCCAGATTTTACATGAGTGCTAGAGCTCTGAACTCAGGTCTCCATCCTTGCATAGAAAGCACTTCACCCACTAAGCCATTTCAGAAGTCTTCAAATGTTTTCTCCTTTAAAAACAAATAATTACACAAATATCAGATCATCAAGCACAAAGGCCCTTTGTGGAAGGCCAAACTCTTTAGGGAACCACCAGCTTGAAGCAACACTGTAGAGGGTAGTGGCCTCAGAAGCTCTCAGCACTATCACCAGTTGATAGCAATGTTGATTCTGCAGGGTTTCTACACAAGTTGAAAAGAAAAGGCTTCATGGTGTAGGAGATATGTGCTGGCTAAAGGCTTTGACATTTTTATCAAGGGAAATGTGTGCTAGAGAACTAGGGAGAAAAGTTTATTTGGGAGGACATCAGAAATATTATTAGGAAGAAATACTTTGCAAATGAAACTTACTTAAAAATTCAAACTGAATGCCAGGCATGGTGGTGCACACCTTTAATCCCAGCACTCAGGAGGCAGAAGCAGGCGGATGGCTGTGAGTTTAAGGCCAGCCTGATCTACATAGTGAGTTCCGGGCCAACTGGGGCTACAGGGAGACCCTGTCTCAAAAATATTTTTTTTTAAATTCAAGCTAAAAGCCAGGTGTGGTGGCATAAGCCCTTATTCCCAGCACTCAGGAAGCAGAGGCATGGTCTACACAGTGAGTTCCAGGGCAGTTGAGGCTACAGGGAGACTCTGTCTCAAAAAGCCTCCCCCCCACAAATACAAGCTGAATATGGTGTAATCCCAGAACTCAGGAGTCTGAAGTAAGAGCATTATGAGTTTAAGGCCAGCCTCATAATAATACCAAGATCTTGTCCCAAACAAAACAAAACAATCTAGACTCAAGGGGCCATAGAAAGAAGGCAACACTAAACAATTTCAATTGGCAATGACTATGAATTAGTACAAACCAAGGCCAGAAATTTGTTAAAGTGGAGGTAAGGGAGTTTGACATGCCTGAGTTTCCTGCTTGCAATGTAAGATTCTTTTTATTCTCTCTCTTTCCAGGTCATTGTGTCTGTCTGGCCCCCATGGCTGCCTTAAGCCTAATGTCCTTCTTATGATGTTAACAAATGTCCACCAGGGGTCACTCTGACTTTCTCATAGAGACAGCATAGATCAGTGGTTAAGAGCAGGGATTCTGAAGAGTCCCCTTGGTTCTAAGCATCAACGCTGCCAATTACTAGCTATGCATCATCACTCAAATTACTTAGCCTCCTTATGGCTCAGATGTCAAATAGAAATAACAACAGGACATACCTGAGTTTGTTATGAAGTATAATCAAGTCAACGTAATGGGAAATCCCTAAGAATAATGCCTGAAACATGTAAGTGATATTTAAATACTGAATATAAAATATATTTTGAGGGGGCGTGGAGTGATGGCTCAGCAATTAAGAGCACTGGCTATTCTTTCAGAAGACCTGGGTTCTAACCCAGCACCTACTTGTCAGCTAACAACTGTCTATAACTTCAGTTCCAGGGCATCTGGACAACACGGGTGCACTTATACACATGCAGGTATAACACCATACACAGAAAATAAATAAATAAATAAATAAATAATACATAAATATTATAAAAAATACATTTTGAGGGAAGCAACTTCTGTCAACTTCTCAGAACCTGAGAATAGAGCCCTGTGACAATATATACAGCAGCAGAACAAAGGCAGAAAATGGAGTTGTTGGCAGTAAAACTTATGGTTGGACTAGTACAGACTTATTAGAGTATATTAAATGGATTGCTGGAAGCCAAGAGCACATATTGGTAGATAGAAGGCACTAATGGAATTTTCCTCCAGTGTACTAAGAAGGCACTTCACTTTCACAAGACAGCTCTCATGCCTCTGTTGTACAGGGACCATTGAGAAGTTAGAGCAAAGTGCTTTTGCTTAGAGATAAGAGGACCTATCTTTTACACCTATCAAAGGGAGAACTTGCAACACAGCTTCTCTGTGAGTTCCAGGAGAGTGGAACACTCCAGGCTAGTGGGCAGGCCTACTGGGTGAAAGATAGTGTGCTAGGAAAATGATTGATAGTGGGTGGGACAAGGGCTCCATTTCTGATGGGT